GAGCAAAAAAACCTAGAAACCTGAAATTTTGTATCTATACTAAGTGGACCATGAGGGTATGCACCTGGGTATTATTACTTATCTTATCCATGTGCGCATCTTTTTAATGAGGCAAACTAGCGAAAAACCACATAGAAAAGAAGTGGTACCTTATAATAACAACTTCTAATATATAAAAAAGCCAGTGCATTTTGGTAACAATGAGTTCCAACAATGGATTTTATGTCATGTTGCTTAGCAACAAAAGCATATAGGTTATACTTTTATGCTAAAATGAGTTCAGAATACACACACTACCAACCTAATAAGCCGAGCCGGGTACTTTCGCTAGTGTCTAATAGTAAATAAGAAAAGAAAGTAACAGATGTGGCGTCCCTGAAGATATAACAATGTTAAATTTAATGACAAAAAATATATACTAAACATAATTCGTGATGTGCCTAATACCCTTACACTAACTAACCTCTTACATTTAATCAACACACAGAACAGAGTATAGGAAGTAAAAGCTGAAAAGGAAATGCTATCGACCTCTAGATAGTTCAATACAAATTATAAGACTTAGCAAATTACAACATTAGTTAAAATGACCAAGAAATTAAATATCGACAACTAATGACGTAATACCATACTAATATACAAACTTTTATATATCTAATATTAATTGTATATAATAAGAAAGAACTTGAGTTAATGAGAGATAAAATCAGTGATGGTCAGTATTCTACAATGATTCACTACTGCCCAAGTTTGGCGTGGCTATGGTACTCGACTCGCAATCTGCGGGTTCGAATTCCCTTCCACCTTTCAGCCGTGGAGGCGTTATAATGTGACGGTTAATCCCATTATTTGTTGACACAAGTACAGCCCAAAAGTTGGCGGTGGCTGGTAATGACTAGCTGCCTTCCCTCTAGTTTTCACTGCTAAATTACGGAAGGCTGGCGCAGATGGCCCTGGTGGAGCTTTACAAAACATTACCACCCTAAACAATATCTAAAGGAATTAAAGACATGAAAGTTTGTAAAAGGTTGTGATACTCTGTAAAAATATGAATATTGCTCAATCTTTTACAAAGTGCAATAAATTGTGTTTAAGATTTAGGACTTTTTTTCATTAGGAGCAGTAAATCTTCGTTAGTCACGATACCATGGTTACTGGTCGATTGAAAAATAAATGTAATGGATGAAATATTAACTTCGTATTCAAAATGTTGTGTAACGCTCCATTGGTTATCTGACCCTTTATTATAATTAAAGATTGTTACTGGCCAATGACCATCTTGCAAGAACAGCTAACAGTTGGGTATTTAAATTTGAATGTGTTACATAGTAACTCTTCTATAGAAGTATATTTCTGGTTACCGCTTCTAATTTAATTAGTTCAACACTTATGTTAATCAATGTAACTATAAGGTAAACCTTATCCAGGACCTGCCTTAGGCGAGTACTCAGGATTAGGTTCTCGAGTTTGGATACTAGATGTATACAATCGACTCGGCCACTGAGGCGCTAGGCCTGAGGCAGTTGTCTCATCCTGAGGCCGGCACTGACCTTATCCTTACGCTCCTTAGCTGTTGTTGTTTTAGGTTTAAGTGATGATAAACAGTAAGTAATAGCTAATCTAGATTTCTCATCAAACTTGAAGACAGATGTATTTATGTTCGACTTAACAAAAATTAACCTATAACCTCCACAAGGTAACGTACAAATTTCCGAGACTTTTTGTTTGATAACCTTCTAGAAGGCTTTGTAATAAACTATCCTGTGCTTTAATCCGTTTTCTTTCTTTTCCTGTGTCTGCGCTCATGACTATGTAGCCAATATGTAAGCAACTGAGTAAAATATGGATTATTTAATAACTGGCAGCCTTGAGAAACATTACCTTCAATTTTTAACTGGGTCTTTAGGCCCTTGTTGGCAAGTTGTACGTTTTCATTCAGTAGTCATCTCTTTCCACTAGTTTAGCGCGTAAACCATTTAGATTCTCGCATTGTACGAATAAGTACATTTTAATAAGTATGCCCTGGAGAGTTAATGATAGAGGAAAGCTTCTTTGTTGTAGCCATTCATTCTTACTCCCAAAAATTACAGGGTCTCGCTTACTTAGTGGTTTGAAGTTCGCGCAAAGCTACACTAGGGCCATCCGCGCTAGCCGTCCCTAATTTAGCAGTGACATACTGTAGGGAAGGCAGCTAGTCATCACCACCCACCGCCAATTCTTGGGCTACTCTTTTACCAACGAATAGTGGGACTGACCGCCACATTATAACGTCTCCACGGCTGAAAGGGCGAGCATGTTTGGTGGGACGACCCTCAGACTGTGAGTCAAGCACCCTAACCACCTGGTCAAGCGCTTACGTAGTGAAAATTGTTTACAGTTAAGTATACAACATATTTGGTGCCACAGCATAAATCCTGGAAACCAATGTTAATTACAGTAAACGTTCTGTTTGTAGAGTAGATAGTGAATGTAGTGTTACAAGCTTCGTGGTCACAATCATGCAGTTTTTGTGTAAACAGTTACTGACCACACCGATTCGTTAAAATCATGAAGATGAAAATGGTTATTAACTGATACGTTGGAAAGAAATCTGTACAAAATAAAAAGGATGAAGAAAAAAAAAGTGAGTCTCTGATTTCATTCTAAATAGGATAAATGATATTCAATTATGATATACTTATTGTCGTGGATAGCAGTTTAACTGTCACTGATGACTGTATATACTCACTGAACTGATGGCATAAAATACTCACTGTCACTGATGACAATATAAACTTACTGTCTCTGATAGCATTATAAGTTCACTGTCACTAATGGCATTATACACTCACTGTCATTGATGGTATTACATACTAACTGTCACTGATGGCATTATATACTCACTGTCTCAAATGACAATGATATACTCAGTATCGCTGATGTTGATAATATACTTCCTGTCCCAGACGATAAATTTTCCTAATATACTAAATACCTGATAAAAAATAGTACACAACAAAATTGTATGATAACCTGTACATTATATTACACATGACAAGAATTAATGAAATGTCTCAATAGTTTCCGAATTCAGTAATTAAAAACAATTATCCCTAAAACACAATAGGGAAGAATGGTAATAGTTTCTTAACTCACAATTCTTAAACCCTAGTTTTTTGTGGTTCATAATATCTCTTTGAAATTTTCTTTCATACTTAATATATGACAAAATAAATTATGTATATTACACTGACTGAACTAAACATTTTTCATGACTTCTCAGTCTATATAAAGATATGTCACTGTTAGATATACATGACTGTTTAAGTTTAATGTGAGAGTTATGATTTAGATAGTTATATAGTGCAAGTTTTAAAGTAGTTATTTTTAAAAGTGATAGTTTATCGCAGGTTTATGTAACTGTTTATGAATCATATGTTGTGTAGTTCAGTTGTTGTGAATTGGCATTGTCGTATTATTGCATGATGTTACTAAAACCTTCTACATTTTCTCGGTCTTAATTTAGTATTATTGCATACTAATATCTCGTAGTGTGTAGAACGTTCTAGGCCTCTGCTGGGCTATAAATTCACGTCCAAATATAGTTCTAGTTAGATCTAAACTGTGTGATTGTTAGTTTAGCCATGAAGAGCATATAGTGGTGATTTTAAAGTGACATTATCAGAGATAGTATTGTAATAACAGAGTAGAGAAGAAATAATTTACCTTGTCAAATTGTGCTCTAAAATAATTGGACCGGCCTGTGTCGACTTTAATGAAAAAGAGACAATTATTTAAAGTTTTGGATATAACTTTGGTAACCAACAGTTATAGTGGTGATTTTAAAGTGAAATTATCACATACTGTATTGTAATAACAGAGTGGGAAGAATAATTTGTCTTGTCAAATTGGGTTCTAAAGTAACTGAACCAGTGTGTGTGTGTGTGTGTGTGTGTGTGTGTGTGTGTGTGTGTGTGTGTACTAACTTAAAATAAAAAAGTAAAGTAATTATTAGTTATTGTAGATACAACTATATAACTAACCTAACTAAGTAACTAAACTAA